CGATGCCCGCCCTCTTCGTCTTCGAACATGCCCCGTTAGGCGTATATCCGTAAGGGCTTCGCTCCATGCCGCCGGCCCCCTGTCTCGGATAATGGAAGATGCAAGAGCTAAATCATGAGGTCTGGGCGCCGCCGTGAAGCAGTGTCGGAACCTGTTTGTTTTTCGACCCTGATCCTACGGATCTGCGTCACGGGTGCCACCGAGTTTCAGAAATGTGGCAAATGCCTTTTGTTTTTTCGACCCTGACTGTACGGATCTGCTTGAGGGGTGCCGCCGTATTTCAGAAATGTGGCAAATCCCTTGTGTTTTTGGACCCTGACCCTGCCGATCTGCGTGAGGGGTGACACCGGATTTTAGAGATGTGGCAAATCCCCTGTGTTTTTGGACCCTGACCCTGCCGATCTGCGTGAGGGGTGCCACCGAATTTCAGAGATGTGGCGAATCCCTTGCGTTTTTGGACCCTGACCCTGCCGATTTGCGTGAGAGGTGACACCGAATTTCAGAGATGTGGCAACTCCGATGTGTTTTTGGACCCTGACCCCGTCGATCTGCGTGAGGGGTGCCACCAAATTTTAGAAATGTGGCAACTCCTTTTTGTTTTTGGTCCCTGACCCCGCCGATCTGCGTGAGGGGTGCCACCGAATGTCAGAAATGTAGCAAATCCTTTGTGTTTTTGGTCCCTGGCCCTGCCGATTTGCTTGAGGGGTGCCAGCAAATTCAGAAATGTGGCAAATCCCTTGTGTTTTTGGACCCTGACCCCGCCGATCTGCGTGAGGGGTGCCACCGGATTTCAGAAATGTGGCGAATCCCTTCTGTTTTTGGACCCTGACCCCGCCGATCTGGGTGAGGGGTGTGAATTTTATCCACCCCAGCAATTCAGAGCACACGCTCAGGGCGCGGTAAAATTGCCTGTTTTGGTCCTCCCCCCCTCGCGCGGTCCATCAACAAGGAACACTAAGCAGCAAGAAGTCAACAAGGAACGGTAAGCAGCAAGAAGCAGAACTGGAACAGTGGAATGTGGAGGCTGCAACTGATTCAGGAAACTGCGAAGCTTCGGCCTGCAGCCTGGTGGCCCCATAACGGGGCCGGCGGATTTTTCGAACCTGCAACGTGTATCCCGTGCAGCCCCTAAGGCAGGGGATGGGAGGACGGATGGAAGGAATGGACAAGGGGGGCAAAGGAGGATGGAGCACGAGAGAGCAAGAGTAGCAGGAGGGGGTCTAGGAGCAGAAAGCACGCGGCAGAACCAAACGGGCAGATCGGGCGGGCAGATCCTATCGGGCGGGTCGAGAAGGTGGGCCCAGGCGGTCAGGTCGAGCAGGCGGGTTGCTGAAGCGTGCGTCTTGCATGAGTCTCGAGGAAGTCTCGAGCGACAGTGCGATTCCAAAACCGAGATAAATCGTGAGGAACACCTCAGCGAGAGCGTGACTCCTGAGTGTCGAGGGCGCGGCGTCTAAGTAAATTGTGGCGGGGTCCCACGCGAGAGCGTGATTTCTACATAAGTTGGGAGGAGGTGCCGCGCGAGAGCGCGATGCGGGAATACATTGTGAGGAAATATTCGGCGGGAGCCGTTATTGTTGATGTTGTTCTTGTAGTCCGGGGCCCAAGCGCCCAGTTTGGTGACACCGAGTTTTCTTTTGTTTTGAAAAGGGTGCGAGCCCTGGGAGGAGTACTTTAATTGCAACGTGCAATGAGTACCAGGGAGGGGATCAATAGAGTTTAACAGCACCAACAACACCAACAACACCAGCACTCGTGCCGCTCAACGCGTATGCCCCGAACCCTCGGTACCCACCCTCTCCGTCTTCGATCGTGCCCCTCTAGGGGTATACCTTTTTTTGCCCCTCTAAGGACGACGGATTGAAGGGCTTTGAACGGGGATGGAAAAGGAATTAACATGGGATTCGCAGGAGGGGGCCAGGAGCAGAAAACACGTTGCAGAACCAGACGGGCCCATCTGGCGTGTAGATCCTAACGGGCGGGTCGGAAAGGCGGGCCCTAGCGGCCAGGTCGAGAAGGCGTATTGCTGAAGAGTGAATATCGAATGAATCGCGAGGACAGCTCGAGTGATAGCCCGATTCCCAAGTAAATCGTGAGCGAGTAAATTTTGACGAAGTATCGGGCGGGAGCCGATGTTGTTGTAAACCGGGGGCCTTCCCCTTATAATAAAAAAGTACAGGGTGCGATCCCCGGGAGGAGCACGTCAATTGAAACATACATTGGCCATTGGGCAAGTGGATCAATAATAATAATACGTTTTCAGAAATGGGCATTCATCAGCAATAACAGCAACAACAGCAGCAGCAGTAACAACGACACACATTTGAAGCCTGTTCGCTCCTATCTGCTCGCGTGCCATTCAACACGTATATCCCCCCCCCCGATACCCGCCGTCCTCGTCTTCGATCGTACCCCGTTTCGGGTATATTCTTTTTCCCAACCGTCCTGTGGTGTTGGGTCCTCGTTTTGAAGAGACAGCGCCCCGCGTTCCTTCCTCCTCCCGCTGCCCCCTCCCTCCTCCTCGCATCATCGTCATCCTCCTCCTCCTCCTCCTCATCATCATCATCATCACCATCATCATCATCATCACCCTCACGAGGATCGTGGCCCCAGGAGCTCCACCGAAGGCGGCAGTAGCAAAGTGCGCATGGCGGCCTCAGGCCATTTCGGCATCCCCCTCACGAGGATCGTGGCCCCATAGGAGCTCCACCGAAGGCGCCAGGAGCAAAGTGCGCATGGCGGCCTCGGGCCATTTCGGCACACCCCTCACGAGGATCGTGGCCCCATAGGAGCTCCACCGAAGGCGCCAGTAGCAACGGGCGCATGGCGGCCTCGGGCCATTTCGGCACACCCCTCACGAGGATCGTGGCCCCATAGGAGCTCCACCGAAGGCGCCAGTAGCAAAGTGCGCATGGCGGCCTCGGGCCATTTCGGCACACCCCTCACGAGGATCGTGGCCCCATAGGAGCTCCACCGAAGGCGCCAGCGACAGGGTTCGCATGGCGGCGTCGGGCCATTTCGGCACACCCCTCACGAGGATCGTGGCCCCATAGGAGCTCCACCGAAGGCGCCAGTAGCGAAGTGCCCATGGCGGCCTCGGGCCATTTCGGCACACCCCTCACGAGGATCGTGGCTCCATAGGGAGCTCCACTGAAGGTCCCAGTGGCGGGGTTCCCATGGCGGCCTCGGGCCATTTCGGCACACCCCTCACGAGGATCGTGGCCCCATAGGAGCTCCACCGAAGGCGCCAGCGGCAGGGTGCGCATGGCGGCCTCGGGCCATTTCGGCACACCCCTCACGAGGATCGTGGCCCCATAGGGAGCTCCACCGACGGTTCCCAGTGGCAGGGTGCGCATGGCGGCCTCGGGCCATTTCGGCACACCCCTCACGAGGATCGTGGCCCCATAGGGAGCTCCACTGAAGGTTCCAGTGGTGGGGTTCCCAGGGCGGCCTCGGGCCATTTCGGCACACCCTTCACGAGGATCGTGGCCCCATAGGGAGCTCCACCGACGGTTCCTAGTTGCAGGGTTCCCATGGTGGCCCCGGGCCATTTCGGCACACCCCTCACGAGGATCGTGGCCCCATAGTTGTGCTGCTTCAGCAACCGCGCCTTGGCGTCGTACTCCGCCTTCTCGACGTGCACCGACACCTCCTCCCTCATGGCTCTCAACGCCCTTTCCTGCTTCTGCTCCTCGGTCAGAGGGACGCCGTCCTTGTCGTCGTCGGCGCCCGCGAAGACGGCCACGAACGTGTTCCTGAGCATGTCGGGCTCCGGCGGGAAGCCGTGGCCACATAGGGAGCGCGGGCGAAATGGTTTTCACAATTGTGGTATTCACAACTGCATATGGTTGGGTCTTTTGCCAGGCTAATTATTGGCAACATGTATTTCATGCAGCCCCTACGGCAGGGGAAAACACGACGGATGTAAGAACGGAACAATGGGGGAGGGAGGAGGATGGAGCACGAGAGAGAGTGTGAGAGAGAGAGAGAAAGGGATAAAGAAAGGAAGAGAGAAAGAGAGAGAGAGAGAGAGAGAGAGAGAGAGAGAGAGAGAAAAAGAGAGTAGCAGGAGGGGGGCTAGGACCAGAAAGCACAACCAAACGGGCTGACCGGGAGGGTATACCCTAACGGGCGGGTCGGGAAGGCGGGCCCAGGTGGCCAGGTCGAGAAGGCGGTTGCTGAAACGTGTGTCTTGCATGAGTCGCGAAGAATGCTCGAGAGATAACGCGATTCCCAGTCAATCGTGAGATAGGCCAAAACGGGAGCGTGATTCCTGAGTGTCGAGGGCGCGGCGTCTGAATCAGTTGCGCGAAATTCCAAAGCGAGAGCGCGATTTCTGTATACATGGTGAAGAGGTCCCGCGCGAGAGCGCGATTCGTCAAGAAATTGAGGAAATATCAGGCGGGAAACTCAAGACCTTCCCTGGTAAAAAAAAACAGGGTGCGAGCTCCGGGAAGGGGACTCTACTTGGAAAAGCACAATGCGCCCCAGAGGGGGGATCAACAATCATAATTTTCCAGAAGTGAACTTTTAACAACAACGACAGCAACAACAACATCATCATCATCATCATCATCATCATCATCAGCAACAACAACAACAGCAACATCAACAACAATACCACCAACAACAAGAACACCACCAACACCAACACCAACAACAACACTCCCAACAACAACAGCAACAACACCAGCAAGTGCTTCCGCCCGATATTTCTTCACAGTGTATTTACGATTCGCGCTCTCGCCGCTCTGGAACCGCGCTCTCGCCCAGGACTTCCCCACAATTGTGCCTTCGCCTGAGACCGCCAAGCGTATTACAGAGGAGTCCGCTGGGTCGATAGCTTAACCCGCCCACCTGCCTCAATGTCCCGCCCGCCCGCACTGCCCCGCCTGTCGGACCCCGCGGGGGAGGAGGTTCACGAAGGGGGGACAAAAGGAGGGGGCGTACCTGGCTATCCCCGCCGCGCTGGGTGCCCCGGGGCCATGCTGCGGATGAAGTTCGGCACGGAACACGTGAAGCGTGACTGGAACGACGTGGTCCTGAGCCCGAACACCCCGAAGAAGATCGTCGAAGAGATCAACATAGACAAGGTGGTCCGCTGAGCGCGCCGTGGAGGCTCCTTCACCTCTCCTTCCTTCTCCCCCTTCGCCCCCTCTCGCCCCCGCTCGCCCGTCGCTGCCCGGGCTAGACCTGCGGGGCACCCCGTGCACTGAGGGGCCCCTAGCGGGGCCCTGGGAGCCCCACTTGGCCCCGCCGGGCCTCTGCGCAGCGCTCAGGAGGGAGGAAGGCTGATGCGGAGGATGAGGAACAGGAAGGAGGGAGGGAGGGAGGAGGGAGGGGAGGGAGGGAGGGAGGGAGGTTGGGAGGGAGGAGGGAGGAGGAAGGAGGGATGAGGGAGGAGGGCGGAGGGAGGGGGAGGGAGGAGGAGGGAGCAGGGAGAGGAGCTCTGCTTTGCTCGGGCAGGCAGCCGGAACACCGGTCCGAGGCGTCGACGTGCACGGCCACCCTCCGCCCCCTACCTCTGCTGACCTCCGCGCCCCCTCTCACCCCCCTTCCGCCCCGCCCCCGCCCCACTTCCGCTCCCCTCCTCGCCCCCCTGCCCAGACCTCGGCCCGCTCCGACCCCCGCTCCGACCCCCGCGGACCGGCGAAGTAAGGACCGGGACCGAACAAGGCCCGGACAGATCGGCGACCTCTGCGATCCGGCGGTCCTGGAGGATGCATCGGGCGCCGCGGCCGTTCCAGAGCGCCCTGGAGCACTCTGATCAGGAGGGGAAAAGACACACACAGACACAAGTCATCGTCGATTCACCAGAATGTATAGGAAAATCTGGGAAGTGGGGGGGAAGACGAAAACCCAGAAGATATGGGAAAATCTGGGGAATCCTGGGATTTGTGTGCATTTCTTCGTGCGTCCCAGGGCCCCTTGATCTGAGGGCGCTCCGGAGCTCTCTGGAACGACATGTCCTGGTCCTGGGCCCGCCGACGGAGGCGGAACCGTCGGCGCAACGGGAAGGGATGGGAGGGAGGCCGGGCGGCCGCGAGCGTGCCACAACGCACCAGCGCGTCTGCGCGAGCCAGGCGCACGCGCGGGTGCGAAGGCGGAGCGCGGCATGTGCGCCGCTTTGCCAAAAGTCCGCTCCCTCTCCCTCCCCTCTGCTGCCTCCTTCCTCCTCCTCCTCCTCCTCCTCCTCCTCCTCCTCCTCCTCCTCCTCCTCCTCCTCCTGATCCTCCTCTCTCGTTAAGTGCACGCGTGCCTCACTTAACGGAGGGTTGGGATGTCGGATATGGCGCGAGCGCATCCATGGTGTGGAGCCTTTGGACAGCGTGGCGCTCCACTGGTTCTGGCCCACCGCACGTCGGTGCGACACGCTGTCAATTTCCCAGGCACCCAGCGTCAACCATTCCCGAGCTGTTCCGAGCCCCCCGCCCCGCGGAGCGCGGCGGCACACGCTGTCCGTCGTTCGCAGGTCGTGGCGTGTCGCCGGGGCCGCCGCCGCGACACGCTGTGCAGAAGTTCCCGCCCGTAGCCTGCCTCGCCCCCTCCTCCTCCTCCTCCTCCTCCTCCTCCTCCTCCTCCTCCTCCTCCTCCTCCTCCTCCTCCCTGTGCGCTCGCCCGGCCTCCGCTCCGTAGCCATTTTGGCTCAAGTTGCCATCTCTCGAGGTGGCGCAGGGCCAACGCACGCTCCAGGTCTGGCCCAGCCCGCGTCCCTGGGGTCAGCCTGTGAGTCTTTGTTCGTGCACCGGACGGTGCCTTCACGTACTCATCATTCCCGCTCAAAAGCAGTTGGCCAGCACGGCACGTCCTCAGCGATGGCGAAGGCCGCAGGGCCAGCTGCTTGGGTTCAGTGTAAGAAGTGTGGCCCGCGCTCTTGGACTCCTGTGGCTAGCGGCAAGCTGTGGTGTCACATTTGCGGGCTTTACTACAACAAGGGTGATCAGCCGCAGCGTGGAGCCAGTCGCCGCAAGGGCGTTGGCAAGAACGCAGGCGGCGGCAAGGGTGCGGGCAGCGCAGGTGGTGCTGCTGGGCTCTCCAAGCAGCAGCTCGACGCCATCGCCAAGCGCGTCTCCACCCTGGCAGCGGCCGCTGGCGCCCCCCCGCCGCCAGCAGCTGGCAGCCCTCCCGCAGGCGCTGCGCCTGGCCGCGGGAAGGGCTCGCGCGGCACGGGCAAGGGCAAGGACGCTGCCGCGCCCGCGTCCGAGGTGGCCGACACCAGCGACAGGGACAAGAAGATCGAGCAACTCGAGCTTCTCGTCAGCACCTACCAGCAGCTGGACGCCAGCGTCATGCCCGACGTGGCCGCCAAGCTGCAGCAGGCCAGGGCCGACCTGGTGGAGGCGCGCGCTGCGCAGGCTGCCAGCCTGCCGCCAGCGCAGCGCATGGCGCGCTGCCACACACGTGTGCAGCGAGCCGCCGAGAAGGTCGAGAAGATCAAGAACCAGATCTCAGAGCTGGAGAAGACCCAGCAGGAGCTGCAGCAGCAGCTCGACGCCAACATCCAGTCCATGGACGAGCAGAAGAAACGTCTCGAGCAGGCCATGGACGACCAGCAGCGCGAGGAGCAGGACGCCAAGTCTGTCTGGGCTGACACGGCACCAGACGAGGTTCCTGAATCGCTCGTTGAGTTCACCAAGACGTCCAAGGCCAAGATCGAGGAGGCCAAGAAGAAGTTCGCAGACAATGCAGACATCCTACAGTTCATCAATGACATGGCCAGCATGGTGGGGTCATTGCCCGAGAAGGCGGCGCCACCGCCATCACCAGCGCCATCGACCACGGACACACCGATTTTCGATTCCGAGTTCTTCAAAGCTGAGATGGAGTCCCTTGCCAAGCACGTGCCGAAGAAGGAGCTCGAAGCCATCCAGAAGGCCAGAGCTGCATACCAGGACCAGCAGGCCGCGGCCGCGCGGCAGCTGGGCGCACCATCGAGCAAGGGGACTGGCAGCCGTCGGGGCCACCGCCCGTACGGGTAACGGCAGCCCGCCATCAGCGACGACAGCTTCGACGGAGAGTCGTGACTGCCAGTCATTTGAGCCAAAGGTCTCACCAGCGTGTGCCAGCGCTGGGAAGGCCAACTTTTCTTCCCCTCCCTCCTCTCCTCAGTGCACCCGTTTTGAGACTTTCAATGGGTCCTCTTGGGGCTCCATCAAGAAGCGCCTCCTCGAGCTTGCGTGGGGACCCACCAAAGTTTTGTTTGTTCAGGAGGTGCACCTAGTCTCTGATTTAAGCATTGCCGAGGCCTCCGACTGGGCCTCTAGGCACGGCTGGAAGAGTTTTTGGGCCCCGTCGGTTGCCACTGCCGCCTTTTCCCCCTCGGCGAATGGTTTAGGGGATATAGGCTCGTCAGCTGGGGTCGCCATCTTCGTGGCCGAAGATCTTGGGTGCTACACTCTCGAGGAACCCGTTGGGCCCCCTGGAGGTATTTTGGTGCCACAACGCGTCTTGGGAGTCGTTGTGGAGTTCCCCCAGACCTCGGGCATCCTCTGTCTATCTCTGTATGGGCACGTGAGTCAGGGCCTCTCGCCCGACAATCTCGCCATCCCCGAGGCCGTAGCCGACTTGGTTAAGGTTTCAGGGCTGCAGTACATCATAGCAGGAGACTTCAATGTCACTCAAGACCAGCTTGAGCATTCGGAGTTCTGCAATTATATCAAGGGTCAGCTCTTCGCGCCAGTATGCACGATGGGCACCTGCACAGCCAGCAGTTCCATTATAGACATGTTCATTGTCGAGCAGCAGCTCGCCAACGCAGTGCGGGGCATCGACGTCGATTTCGACTGGGATGCTAGGCCGCACTTCCCCGTTATGCTGGATCTGCCACCAGATTTTGGAGAGGTCAAGGTCCTTCAATTCCCTACCATACCCCCCCTCCCCTCCTCATTCGACCAGGATGAGGAGGGTGAGGATATAGTGCATCACAGCACCGTCTCTTGGGATAAAGTTCTTGATCATATCAATAGGCTTATCTCTGCTTTAGGTCACCGTCACAAGGTTGTGTTGCGTCTCAACTTCGCCTCGGCCTACGCGCACTGGGCCAACGCCGCCGAGCTCGAGCTCGCGCAGCGGACCAACACAAGGATTCGTGAGCGCAAGTCGACTGGCTTGAGAGCAAGAGCCCCACAGCCAACACTTAGATCCATAACAAAGAAGGATAGAGCTCACAAGCAGTACGGCCTCCTCCCTACGGCGCCGAGCTGGATAGCCACACGCATGCACCGCCTCGCCTGCTTTTTGGAAGTGGAGGAGGAACGGTATGCTGGGAAGGTTATAGGCAGAGCATCTAGGCCAGCAGTTTTCGAGCTTATTTCCCGAGTTTGGCGCGCCAGGCCCCAGCACGTGATGCAGAATGAGTGCACACGCGTGCTCCTGAGAGATATCCAGCAGTTTATCACGGCCGTGCACGCAGACTTCGAGGCTGAAGCATTTTGTTGCAGCAAGATTGCCGCCACAGCCGCGCAGCTGCTCTCGTTCAAGGCCAGAGCTGACGCATGCGCAAAGAAGGTCATTTCAGATGTGCGGTCAGCTAACGCCAGCTCCTGGAAGGATTGGGTCGACAAGGCCCTTGACAAAGGGGCCAAGGCTGCACGCAAGTTCATTAAGGAGCGCACCAAATGGGAGCCCGACGCTGTGGTCATTGAGGGTAAGCTCACCGCCTCCGTTCAGAGTACCCTGGACACCTACCAAGCCAAGTTCGGGAAATTCTGGGAGCCCTCGGCCGAGCCCCTCCACAGGGACAACGTCCTCCACGAGCCCATCGGGATCCCCTCAGTGGAAGCTCTCAGGGACCTCTCCAAGAGTTACCCCAAGTCCTCCGCCGTCTCCCTCGACGGGTTCCACATGAGGCATCTCAGTATGTTAACGGACGAGGCCCTAGAGGCCTTCGCCAAACTCATCTACGTCTCTGAGGTGCTAGGGGAGCTTCCTGGGCAGCTCCAGTGGGTCCTAGTGGCCCTCCTCCGCAAAGTCACAGGCGGCTACAGGCCCATCGGCATCTTTCCCATGATGTACAGAATCACAGGC